TGCTGGCCCGAGATCAATGGAGCTACCAGTCAGGAACGTTGAGCTTCAACTTTGGAATATTGAAGTTGAACCCTGGCTGAAGGCCATATATATATGCACAATGCTTTATTTTAGTTTTATCCTCACCTGAGGATATTTTTGCATTTATCTTCAGATAGAGCAGGAGGGGGAGAGGGAAAGAAACATCAACGTGAGAGAGACACATCGAGTGGCTGCCACCCACACGGCCCCAACCGGGCCGGGGATCAAACTGCAACCGAGGTACATGCCCTTAGCGAGAACCGAACCCCAGTCTCTTTGGTCCAACGCTCTAACCACTGAGCCAAACCAGCCAGGGCTATATATATAATTTTTTTTTTAAACAAATGATGAGCACTTTATTTATTTTTAATCCTCACTCAAAAACATTTTTCCCTTTTTTGTTCAGATAGAATGGGAGGGAGAGAGAGAAAAAAAAACATCAACGTGAAAGGGACACATCGAGTGGTTGCCACTCACACGACCCAACCAGGGCCAGGGACAAACTGCAACCGAGGTACGCGTCCTTAGCGGGAACCGAACCCGGGTCTCTCTGGACCGCAGGCTGACCCTCCAACTGCTGAGCCAAACCGGCCAGGGCTATATAATTTCTGTTAAATAGATTTTTACTGATTTTTAGAGAGAGAGACAGAGATAGAAACATTGATGAGAGATATGCCGCCTCCTGCACGCCCCCTACTGGGGATCGAGCCTGCAACCTGGGCTTGTGCCCTGACCAGGAGTAGAACCGGTAACCTCTTGGTCCATGGGTGGACGCTCAACCACTGAGCCACACCGGCTGGGCAGCCGTCCCACTTATAAAGCCCTGAGCATACCATTAACATTGACTGCACAGGCCTTCAGTGGGAAGAACGTATACGATCCACAAGATTGACAGACAATGCTTCATAATGCTTGTTTTTACTTTCTGAAGATTGTTAGAGGGCTCACACCTTTAAAGACTACTAGAGAAGTATAATGCCTTCATTTTCTAATTCTCAGTGGCAAGAGAATTACTGAGGATTAGTTATCTGTATCTGCTTCTTTTGTTTCAGGACAAACATTAGCTAGTTGCTGGGACCTTGGGAACATCCATTGATCTCTTTGGACTTGTTTCCATAAGCGTGACTTCGGTCCAAGATGTCCTAATATTCCTTGAGATGCTTCTGTGATTCTCCTCAGAGGGCAGAACTAATAGATTAAGGGGGAAGTCAGGGAAGAGAAAAACAACAATACAAACCCAAACCTCCGTGGTAGAAAAAGAGAGAAATAACCCGATTTATTTGCCATAGTAAGCAAGCTGTAACACAGCAGGCAACAGGTGTAGACATGGACTTGGTACAGCCCCCGAGTTCAACCTCTTTGTCTGTTATAGACAAACAGTCTCTCCTGAGCCATGTCATTATGTCAAGGGGAACTTGACTTGGCAGGTCAGCTGAGTATTAAATATGACTGTAAGCACGTGACCAGGCCCAGAATGAATTCAGTCAATACTGGCTTCCTGTAACTGAGATGGAACGGCCAAGCAATTCATGGATGCACTGAAGGTGTTCTAATTTTAACGGAAGAGGGGAAGTCTCCAGTCCCCTCACCCCCCAGGTATTATTACTTATTCCCTTTAGTATAGGCTCTGAAGGTGGAGCCACTTGTTACGTAAAATTTTGCTAAAAAGTAGAAGGCAAATCCGCCCCAAATTGAATTTTATAGTGATGATCACAACTTCAGGTTTCTTAAGCACTTGCTGAATGGATCAAAAATGTTATGGGGTAGGTGGTTTCTATTGGTACTTAACTGTAATGTCTTAAAAATTCAGAGCTCTCCTGCTAAGACTGTAAGTAAACAGCTCGGGGAAAGAGGAGCTTGGGTCCTTCCCTAACAGGACCTGGCCTCGGCTTCGTGGAGACAGTGGGTGCCTGTCCTCTCACAAATACAAAGTATACAAGGGAAGATGACAGATCTGTGGCAGAATAAAACATACATAAACTGTCTTCATCAGTTTAAAGTGAAGTCTCCTAAACCATAAAAAATAAAATTAAGCCCAGCCGGTGTGACTCAGTGGTTGAGCATTGACCCATGTACTAAGAGGTCGCCAGTTCGATTCCCGGTCAGGGCATATGCCCAGGTTGTGGGCCCAATGCCCAGTCGGGGCATGCAGGAGGCGGCCCATCAATGTTCTCTCATAGATGTTTCTCTCTCTCTCTCTCTCTCTCTCTCTTTCTCTCTCTTCCCCCTCTCTCTCTCCCTCTCCCACTAAAATCAATAAAGAAAAAATAAATAAAATTTAAAAATAAGATTGAGCAATAGTTTTAACATTATCAGATGACACTTGAGTCAGAATAAAATCAGGCTCAACATTTGACAAAAATAGGCATACATCCATGCCTATAATAGGTCTCAAATATTTTTTTGTGTGTGTGTGTTTTTGAACTTTTTTTTTTTTTAATCCTCACCCGAGGACATTTTTCGATATTTTAGTCAGATAGAGTGGGAGGGAGAGAGAGAGAAACATCGATGTGAAAGGGACACATCGAGTGGTTGCCACCCACACGACCCAATCAGGGCCGGGGACAAACTGCAACTGAGGTACGTGCCCTTAGCGGGAACCGAACCTGGGTCTCTACAGACCACAGGCCGACGCTCTAACGGCTGAGCCAAACTGGCCAGGGCTCAAATATTTTCTTTTTGAATGTCTGGCTCAACTCCTTAAATATCAGTTCATTACAAATAAATGATTAGATAGAATTCTTATTTTACTCTTTAGAATTTTTACATCTTTAAATGGCCTTCTCAGTGTTATAATTTTTTAAAAAGTCTTGCCCTGGCCGGTGTGGCTCATTTGGTTGGAGTGGTATCCCATACACCAAAAGGTATTAGGGTTCAATCCCTGGTCAGGGCACATACCCCAGTTGCATCTTTGATCCCGTCCGGGTGCGTGCAGGGGGCAACCAAATGGTATTTCTCTCTCGCTTTAAAAATCAATTTTAAAAGTCTTTCCTGATAAACATTCAGGTTATAAACATGTTTTCTACCAGTCCTGTTCTCCCAAGTGTTATTCTTTTCTAAGATAAAAAAACTGTAGCTAAATATACTGTTAGTACAGAAATCCCTAACGCTTCTATTTTGTCAGCGTTAGAATGCAATCCCCACCCCCCATTATTTTATTAAAAACTAAATGATATCTTAAAGGAAAACTGCCAAATATTCTATGTACTAGATATAACATTTAAAAAATTCCGAATCATCTCAGAAAGGCTTTAAACCCTCCCTCCACCCGAAAACTTGACTTGCCCGTTTCCTCCCAGGAGGGTGTCATCTCTCCTGAGTTCTCAGCAGTCTCATGAAACCCTCCACCTCTAGCGCTTAGGCCCAGAACCCAGGGGGCCATCAGGAGACTCCACAGGCTGGCCCCTTAGAAAGATGCTGATTCCTACAGCAGAGGGGATTAAGTCTGTAAATGCTGAGACTGGTAACTCTCAATGATTCCTCAGGTCAGTACTTTACCACTTTATTGTTAAGTTTTAATTTTTTTTCTAATTCAGTGTTCCCACTGAAATTTCTTCTTAGAAAGGAGTCTTGCCCTGGCCAGTTTGGCTCAGCAGTTAGAGGGTTGGCCTGTGGACCAGACCCCGGGTTCAGTTCCCGCTAAGGGTGCATACCTCGGTTGCGTGGTTTGTCCCTGGCCCCAGTTGGGGTTGTGTTGGTGGCAGCAAGTTTGTGTGTCTCTCTCTTCCTCCCACTCTCCCTCTCCCTCTATCTGAAGATAAATGCAAAATTGTCCTCGGATGAGGATAAAAAAAAAAGTCTTACTGAATATATGTGCCAAAAGGAGCATCTTGTTTATAGTTAGTTGAGATATTAATATGATGGAGGTTGTTTTAGTGATATTAAATTTAATTATTGAGCTTGTCATTAGTATTGTAAAACAATTTTCAAATGGTGGAACTAGCAATTAGATTCAGGTGTGCTACTAATTTATTAAATTTTGCTGATTCATTTGTGTCAAAACATATCTCAGATATTGAGGTCATGACATTTTGATTAAAACTGTGTATTTTTCTCTTTAATTTCCAGATAATGTAAAAACACAGAGAAAATGGATGGAGTATAAATGTTAAATTGATTTTGAATTACCAGTTAATGTTAATTGATAACGTAGCAACTGTCTATATAGTTTAATGTAGTAACAATGTAATGAAGGACCACTTTAGAGTAGAAGATTCATTTGTAGATTTTCCTTTTTGCCATTTCCATCTTAGTGATTTTTTAAGTGGCCTCAAAGGCAGTGAAGAAATGTTTCATTTTCCCTCAAACATACAAAATACATCTGGAAGAATAAATTCACATCTGGTTCATGGATTTCCTCCAGGGAGATCATCCAAATTCAGCATCAAGTTTAGAGTATGTGTGTACTCATGGGTTTGCAGAATCTTGTGTGGAATTTGAAATATTTTGTTTACAAGTAGTTGGGGAAACAATTGATTCAGATGTTTGTGTTAAGTTCTAAGTTTAGATTTATTTCTCCCTCATTAAAAATAAAAAATGTTTTGTCCTTCATAAAAAAATTAAAGTGTCTTAGATTTTTGGGGGACCAAAGCCCTAGTATTCTTATTTAAATGAGTATTTCCCCAAGTCCCATTTAATTCTGTCTTTTCATTTCCCCTCAGGAAACAAATCAAGTGCAAACGAACCCTTGTTTCACAGTCACATTTTAGGAGATAAAGGGTTAATCTTAAAAAGCTTATTTTTCAGGTCATCTTTTGACTTTAAAATAAATTCTCAGGCCAAAACTTAGACAGGTTGGTGTAACAGCCACGTGACTCTCTAAAACCAGCCTCATTCACTCAAAGGCACGAGGGAGGGTTGCCAAGGGAAGAACCTGAAAACTACACAAGGTCCTCTCCTCTTGCACTGACATCCCGCTGAGTATCCCCCGAAGCATAACTACCACCAGCCAAAGCATTCCCAATCACAGTTAACTTTTCTAGTTTGAAAATGCCCATTTTATTCTATATGACACTTAACTAGATATCATTTACATCTGAGAAAGAGTTGGCCACAAAAATCTATGGATAAAACACTATCTCTAAGAAATGTAGTCCAATTTTATATATTTCCAGGTACCCCTAAGACAAGTGCATCACAATGGAGAAATGTGGGGATCACTACTACATTTTACATAAAAGGGAAGTATTCAAGTACCTCAGAAAGTAGTAAATTCACTTGTCCTTTACAATGGTATGCAATTGTTGCAAGGCCATAGTAAATGGTTTATAAAATGCAATTTTATTTTATATTTCTCTGCCGTTACATAGGGCACAGCAATTTCATGAGGCTTTTCTGGAGCTACAGCCCATGATTAATAGCACGCAACAGTGGTCCAACTCTAAATAACAATCGCTAGACAAACTGGACACCCTCTCACATGTGCACAGATCAGCGTGGAAAAGTACTCAAGTTTTAGACGTGAACTCGTGTACTGTAATCTATTTCCCCCTTCTACTGTATTGAGAAATGAAATGCACTTTAATTCGCCAAAAGCAATGCTTGTATTCTGGCAGCCACATGCTACTTCTATTCCCTCGTCAAGTGAACACCAGAACTACAAAGGCAGGAGGTGTAAGTGAATTTTTATTAGGAAGGGAAGTTGTCAACTGAAACAGCAGCAAATGAAGAGTGAATAAGGAGACTCCCTGTTGTCACAGATACACAAGATCTCCCCATGTGTGACACAGGAGGCATTCAATTTGTGACCCGCAGCCCAGAATCATCAAATGCTTTCCCATTCATCTAATACTTGTGATTCCTACCAAAAAGGAATACATTAAGAACATGGAACTTGCAGACCAAAAGGAAACCCCCAAAGAATAGTAAGGGAGGGAATGTAGAAATTAAGAAGTTATGTAAAACACTCTTTAAATTGTAATTAACTACATTTTCATATCTTCACAGTAATACAAAACACAGTCACTTGTAGAACTGGTTCAGATTACTTAAAATACCAAATACATTTTTAGTTGTCTACTTAAGTGTTTGGAAGTTACTTATGTTTATGTGAAATGAAGCTATTAATACTTTTCTACAGCAGTAACTGCACACCAGGAAGGCCAAGACAAACACAAATCAAGGAATGGAGTTTTCCCACAGCTGCAGTGTGAAAGACTACAAACAGCTGATTCCATACACATGAATGGGTTCTCTGCTCTAGGAAATCCAAATGGAAGAAGGAATGGAGATGTGTACAAAGGTTTCTGGAGGGAAGAAGGACGCCACCCTGTATGCGGTTAGTTTTCTGCCCCTTCTGCCGCATCACATTCTTCTCCTGCACTGTCTGATGTCCATAACTAGGGGGAAAAAATCATATTTCCAGATTAGACAATTATATCAAGTCCTACTGTTATATCAAAATGTAATTCTGAGAGCAGTAAATTATTCAAACAGATTATGACTAAGACGGAAAGTTATAGTTCTCAAAACCCAAATACCACCAACTCCTCCCTAAAGTGTATCCCTGCAGACTACTTACAGTGCATTTACAAAGTCACACACACACTCCCAAGTACACTTTAAAGCTCACTGTTGCTATGAGCACTGTAATTTCAGAAAGAAGCAAGGTGACCTCCTTAGAATGTACTGCTCTCATTCCCAGCAGCCCAAGGCGCTTTGTGAAAGCACTGTTCAAATATAATCTGAGATTAATAAGACAAAAATTTCTAGGGAGCAGGGGGCCACGGTCATAACGACTGCTTTCAAGCATCTGAAGAGCTATCACAGAGTAAAAAAAGCCAGCTCCCTTTGTGTTGTGCAAAGAGCTGAACAGGAGAGGGCGACAGTTATAAGGAAGCAGCAGGTGTTCATGTAGATACAGAGAAAGGATCTGTGAACTAGGCAGGATATTAAAACAAATAAAATCGATCTCTAAGGATCTGATTTCAGGGTGGAGTGATGGAGTGAAAGTGGAATAGTCGGTATTCACTGACTGTAATCAGTAGCTCACAAAATGGATTTCCATTAGACCAACACCAAGACACGACTTGAATTTCAGAACAGCTGGAATCTTGTTATCTTATTAAGATACTGATACAAATAAAACAAACAAAACAAACACCACCGGAGGCACTGCTGCCCTAGGAGGAAAGGCCAGTAAAGACACTGACAGCACTGTGCTGCCTGGGAGGAGGCCTAGCCGCTCAGCTGCCTTTCTTCCACGAAGGCTGTTCGCGGCGCTCGTTCTGCTGTCGCTCAGGACGGCAGGGTTTCCAATGGCTGGGAAAAGTGTCTTCGTAATTTCCCTGTTCATCCAAGCTGACAGGCACGGTGCCGGTGTTAGAAGAATCTTATCTAGCAAAGCTCAAGCCCCAAATCAGGGCTCAGGGAGGAGAACTACATTTATATTAAAAGGTGATTAGGTTCCCTTCTTCCACATTTTGACTAAGGTTTTGATACATCACATTTACTTAAACCTCTAAGAGAAGCTAAATTAAGCTCAATCTGTACTTTTTATCCATTATTTTCTCTTTTATCATCTGCTTATCCAAGTAGTAGGGAGAAAAACTAAAGAAAAAACAAGGTAAAAGAAACAAACAAGCAAAACAGAGGTTTTGGTCTAGAAGCAGAGGTGTAAATCGAGGTGCAGGTTTATTCCCTACCAAAAGCCTACAGAACATCAGGTATAGTTCAAAGTAAAATTATATCAGAATAAGGCACTTTGGTGATTGTAGAGAAGCTTATATACCTACCGTAGTCCCTACCTTGCTACAGCTAATTTATTCAAAGGCAGAAAAGAATGAAACTACCTAAACTGTCCACATTAATGATTTATTAACATCTTCATCCCAATGAAACAGCCAGTGACGTTAACTGGTTATGAGTTCCTGCAACCTTAGTACCTTTCTCAGGAAGGTCTGATAAAATGCCTATTCACCTTGATAACCTGCCTACAAAATAATGGTCGTCCTGTACAAAACACTGATAAGCACTTAATACTTTTATTTATATATCTATATATTCATTTTCTAAGAAAAACTGTAGTTATTATATAACTACCCCAAGAGACAAGGAGCCTCAAATAAAATATAAGTACTTTTGTTCCAGAAAAAGAAAAAAATGAACAACTCACTGTGAGGTTGTCTCTAAGCAACTGCATGATGAGGGTGCTGTCTTTGTATGAGTCTTCATTCAGTGTATCGAGTTCTGCAATGGCCTCATCAAAAGCCTAGTAAAATATTAATATCCATGGTAAACAATATTTGCATAAACACAACCTAGGTAAGTCCACAATTACAAACCATTTTTAAAAAACAGGTGAACGTTCACTTTATGTTCTACCATCAATTAAGAATAAAAGATGAAATCACATTTCCAGTTTAAGAACTTCTGAATATGACTTGAAATGTATAAAGCTATGGTAATCAGTAAACAATTTTTTTTTTTAACATCTACTTATCCATTGATCCTCAGATAGAGTGGGAGGGATGGAGGGTGGGAGAGACAGAGAAAAACAATGACATGAGAGAGACACATCGATCGGTTGCCTCCCACACGACCCCAACCAGGCCTGGGGATTGAACCACAACCGAGGTACATGCCTTTGACCGGAATCATACCCAAGACCCTTTGGTCCGAAGACTGATGCTCTAACCACTGGCCAAGGCAAACAAGCACTTTTTAAAATAAATCCTCACCTGAGGATATGTTTATTGATTTTAGGGAGAGGGAGAGGGAGAGGGAGAGGGAGAGGGAGAGGGAGAGGGAGAGGGAGAGGGAGAGGGTGGGGGAGAGTAAGAGCGAGAAAGAAGCATCAATCGGTTGCCTCCCATATGTGCTGTGACACCAGAGATTGAACCCAAAACCTAGGAATATGCTCCGACTGGGAATGGAACCCGCAACCTTTCTGGTGGACGGGATGATGCTCCAACCAACCGAGTCACCTGGCCGGGGCACAAGCAGTTCGTATTTCTCCACAGGACACGCAGCGCAGTAGCTGTGCCTAACACACCTCTCACCAATGAGAACTCGTGTGTATTTGCAAAAGGCTCTGTGGCACTCTCCCCCTCTACACTTTCATGGCAGGCAGTGCTCTCCATTTCTTCGTCCTCCTTTGCTCTCTCTGACCACTATGCCCTTTAGACAGACATCACTGCTGACAGAGTCGGGAGAGAGCAAGATACTGAGAACCGTGGTGGTAGGAGGCATGATGGTAAGACAAAGGAGAAGACAGCCAAATAAAGATAGTAGACATCATCCCTGGATATCCAAATAAATAAAATACCTGGAAGTTAATGTATGTTATCTCAAATAGCCTTAGCTAAAGAGAGTGTTTCTGAACGCACATCTTACCGTTTTAGCCAGTGTGCAGGCAAGCTCGGGGTTATTAAGGATCTCATAGTAAAATACAGAAAAGTTAAGAGCCAGCCCCAGACGAATTGGGTGTGTGGGCTGCATCTCTTTCTTGCTTATATCAAAAGCCTCTTGGTAAGCTCCTTGGGAATTATCTATCGTTTCTGTGAAGGCAAAATATGAAAATCAGGATACTGAAAATATCCACCCATTATATAGCATATTAACACAATTAATGTACGTTACTAGCTCTTGGTAGAACCTGATTTTTCTCTGTAGCATTCTTTTAAAAGCACTGTAGCAAAAAGCAAACACTATCTTGTACTGGGTATTTAAAACTAGTTTATAATGTTTTTGGCTTATATTAGCTTAAATATATATATATATATATGTATATAGTATACCAGAGTTTCCCATCACTGGGGCTAAAACAATTTTATTCTTTCATGTTTTTTAATTTTATTACTTGGAAATGCAGCAATTAAAAATAATTTGACTGTTATATGCCAATAACATCTTAAATTGGCTGGAATATCCTTTTCTCAAAATAATGAAAACACTTTACAAAGATCACCACCACCAAATTCTCTATTTTTGTGACTTATCCGTAGAAACAATACTGATCCTTGGAACCAGGATGTTTTATGTGAAAAGCAATATAAAGTGCCACCATACAGAAAAAATCTGCTCTGACCAGAGTTTGATCATTGGCCTAATAAAAACGTCACCTTCCTGGGGAAAAAAAAAAGTTACTTTGGAAATACTGACCTAACAGAAATTAAATGAGTCCTCTGTGGCCTGAATGTGTACATTTTCTGTCCTCTGAAAGGTCACATTTATTGATGTAAACATGGCTGGTTTAGCACAACACGCTGAGGATCTCCAGCCCTGGCACTTAAGGGAGCCCCACAATGAGTCAAGTCTTAGCTCTGTCAATACGGACTATCTGTACATTCTAGAATACAGAAATATTCTATGCATGGGACTAGAAAATGCCAATAAGCCAGAAAGGGTGAAATGAGATTAACTTGATATTTGAATGTTCAGTTCTGTTATGTTCAATTTTGCTTATTTTTATGGCAACAGAAATTATACATCAATAAGTTTAGTACACAAATTTTGTTACAGCAGGGTAACAAAAAATAAAGCCTGTTTTCAATATCTTATCAGATTATAATCAGAAAGTTTGAGTTTACTTTTTTAAAAAGAGCACAAAGTGTAAACTTATGACAACTATATTTTCAGTTTTGAAAACATATGGTAACATTATTAATTTTCTTTTTTTTTTTTGTTTTTTTTTTTTTTTATCCTCACCCGAGGATATTTTTTCCATTTTTTGTACAGATAGAGTGGGAGGGAGAGAGAGGAAGGGAGAGAGAGTGAGAAACATCGACGTGAAGGGACACATCGAGTGGCTGCCACCCGCACGACCAACCAGGGCCGGGGACAAACTGCAACCAAGGTACATGCCCTTAGCGGGAACCGAACCCGGGTCTCTCCGGACCGCAGGCCGACGCTCTAACCGCTGAGCCAAACCGGCCAGGGCACATTATTAATTTTCTTTACATGGAGATTTCAAAAGGTTTCTTAAAGTTATGAAAAGCCCGGAGACTACACAGAAACTATTGTCGTAGTGCCCCATTTAGCCTCCCTATTTTACATTTTAGCTTTACCTGCAAACCAAACGCACTTACGTTTTCGATCATCACCACAAGCAACTTCAGCAAGGTACCGGAAGTAATCTCCCTTCATTTTCAGATAGAAGACCTTACTCTCTGGATTAGTTGCGTTGGCTATTAAATACTTATCCAACAATTCCTGAAAGTAGTAAATAAGACATTAGGCACTAATAAGAGGCAATTATTACAATCAAGAACTCACAGTGATATGCCGTTAATCGTCAATGGTCACAGTAACTACAGCTCACCACCCCAGACATAAAGCACGAGCTAAGTAGTTGCCACTGGTTGAATGTTTTGGCTCAGAGCAAGTCAGTTTCTAATGGTAGACCTGGATTACACCAAACACTAATTAGCAAGAGCTTGTCTGTTCCTTCGTTCATTCATCCAGCAAGTGAGCTAAGACGAGATCCCACAAAGGGGCTCTGGAAAGGCGCCAACTCTGTTGAGAACATTTTTATAGTCACAAAGAAATGCTACATGGTCCCTTTAATACCCAGTGCTTCGTGATTAAACATGGTAGAAGCGTGAATGCTGAGGCTGAGAAGAGTCCGACTAGGAGGAGGTCTCGTGGTGAGAAGAGAACGCGATTCCAGCACTGATCCCTCCTGGTCCCTCCAGCCAGATGTGCCCGCACTGACAAGGACCAGCTTCCCCCACTGGCTTCCGAGGGCTGGGAGGGCCGCCGACCAGCCCTAAGAGCCAAGTGCAAACTTTCCTTCCTAAAATCAGACTCTGATTACTAGTTTGCACATAGTCATGGCGTACGATTTCCAGTGTTGGCTTTTATAAAGTTACTTGGGCTTTGCTCCCATGCTGGAGTTCAGCCAGGTAGCATGGTTCTTTGTCAGATGCCACTAGCTCTCCGTGAAGGAAACAACAGGCACAGAATAATTGTGTCTTTCTGCAGGCTATCAGTAGTAGAAATTTATATTTTAGCCCAATTAAATGTAGACAGTGAACCTGCTTCATGTTTTACTAAAATAATCCTGGTTATACAGAGTATTACAAACACCAGTTATTATTAATGCTAAAGTGAATAAAGGCTAAGAATGCTTAAGGTATATAGTCTAGGTATACAACATTGTGTTTTCTGTTATATTTTTTTTTAATTCTCACAAGAGGACACGTTTTTCACTGATTCTAGAGAGGAAGGGAAAGAAAGAGAGAAACATGTATCAGTTACCTCCCACCCCCCCCCACCCCCCAAACGAGGACCAAACCTGTAACCTGGGTTACATGCCCTGACCAGAAATTGAACCTGAGACCCTTCGGTGCACAGGACAACATTCGAACTAACTGAGCTACTCTGGCCAGGCAGTGTACAACTTTCTATAAAAAAAAATCTCAATACAGACCAGAGAGAAAACACCCAAAATGACAAGTGGCTCCCTGCATAAGAAAATCTTTCCATAGAAGGTGAAAAGACAGGTGTAGAGGAAAGGAGTCACATTTAGCATTTATGTAACTGGAAGTCCCCCTACAAGTTTCTCCTGTTCGTTATTCCTGTCAATTAAGCGGGAGTTCCCCTTTGTACGTTTTTAACCAGCAAACTGTATGACCCGAGAAGCCCGAGGGCTCCCTCCTGCAATGACAGTGTCACTTGACTGAGGCAGGATGCGGGCAGTGCGCTCCTCTGTGAGAATCTTAGAGATCTGCGAACTTCCAACTCAAAATTACAAGACGGACTAGTAACTGAGGACACTCTAGACCAAAACCCTTAAATATGAGCCAAGTAAGAGGAAAGAATTTACATTAGAATACGGGCCACTTCAGGGAGAACCAGCAGTGACACCATATTACTGAGAGCTCTGGACGTTTTTTTAAACAAAAAGTCACCTATGCGTCAAATGAACAATTTGGATAACAAATTGTACATAATAACCCCCTTTATAACTAATGTTCTGATTCCTTAACTATACTAAAATGAAACTAGTAGCTAATATATCTACACACAAATTAAAAATATACATTAATGTCAAATGGGGCACCTGTAACAGTGTCAGCACCAACAATTTTTATACAAAGTATATACATTAATGTCTGAAATAAGATATAAGGGAGAAATAAAAGACACTTGTGATAAACAGTATGTGTTTCAATATGTAAATATCCACATGTCTGGCCCAGGCACTGTCGCAGGTTTGATTCCTGGTCTGGACACATGCCAGGGACTTAACCTGCAAACCAGGTACATACCCTTGACAGGAAATCAAACCCGAGACCCTCTGGTCTGCAAGCCAATGCTCTAACCACTAAGCCAAACTGGCCAGGGCAAGATGGTGATCTTTTGAAAAGAAAAACCCCCCAAATTTATAATATTCACCACGAATTACATTTGAACACTGGAGAATGAGTGCTGGTCCGATAATCTGGTTCTAGAGCTGCCTAGTTGATTTCCTCTTCTATGAAATAATGAAAATATTCTCCAATTTGTAATAATCTGTGCTAACTGCCCTGGCGGTTTGCTCAGTGGTTAGAGCATCGTCCCACAGATGAGAGCCACGGTCTGGTTCCGGCCCTGGTGACGGTCATGCGGGAGGCAGAACCAAGGGATATGTCTCTCTCACATCATGTCTCTCCCTCTTTACCCCTCCCTCCCTCTATCTGAAGACAAATGGAAAAATATCCTTGGGTGAGGATTAAAAAAAAATCTGTGCTAATTCTCAGGTACTAAATCCAAAGGGCGACCTGTTAAGCAGATCAACTCCTAGATAAAAATGTTTTCTTAGTGTTTTTCATTCAGGAAATTCTGTCGGTGGCACGTCCAGCACTGGCCTGGTGCCATCACCACGGAAGACCTGTGGGTCACACGGACACCAGCCACAACGCAGGAACGGAAAACGACACTTTTCCTGAATTACTTGCTTTTATGAATCCTTCACCTTTTATCAAAGCAATAACATGCAACAGTTAACTATCGCTAACATTTCTAACAAAAAATCTCCCCATCCCGTTCCCTCATTGTTTTATTCCTTCAGGGCAGTTACTTTTCTTTAAATCCTCACCTCAGACTAGGTCTCCAACTCAAATTCAATACCACAGGATTACTCCTCTCTTATCTGTGTCTCCTCTGCACACACAATAAGGCTCTGGTTTCCATTTAATAGGCACCAAATGCGTATCACATCAACAGAAACAGACAACATAGAAGGAAAAATACAGCAGAGCACCAAAGGAAAAAGGAAACAAAGAACTAAAAGTGCAAGTTCACGACAATCCAGTGGTGTGAAGGGAGCAGGGACCCTACAAAAACTCTGCACCACTGCTGGGAAGTGCAAGGAAGCTATTTCCTAGGCTTCTTGGGGGTGGGGGAGGGGGTCCAAAAGGGGGGTCTAGTCTCCTATGGAAAACTGAAACCCATGTGTTGTGTGGGTGCTATTCAAATTTTCATTTCATACACGATGTGTAAAACCACATGCTGTGTAAAAATGGGCGAAGCTTGGTGTGTACAGCAGAAACAAATCATCCAAACCACTATGCAAAGACACTTCCACAGTCCAAGGCACACACAGGTCCCGTGGAGAAAAGCTCCATTCACATAATTAAAAATAACAGAACTACTCAAGGGGCAGATCCACCACAATGAGGTATCAGCGAATCAACAGATAGTACCCAAGAACTTAAAAAATGAGAACTGTGTAATAAAACCTAAAATATGCTGAAAATGACTAAAGAATCTTTTAAAGATATATGTATTTTTTAATATTTATGGGTTAAACAGATGATGCCCAGGACTGGCTTCAAAATAATGGCAGAAGTGTGTGTGGGGATATAAACAAAACAGAATTCATAATAGCTGAAGCTGGGTGATGGGTACATATGGGGAGTTACTATAATCTTATATTAGTATAAGTTTGAATTTTGGTTACTTCTTTATTAAAATAATCAAAGAGATTAAAAAAGAAAAAAAGGAAGCAAAAGACAGGAAAAAGACAAGATAGAACAAATTAAGAAGACAGCTTGGAGGTATGGGGAGAGGGAGAAGAGCTAAAATAAATCCTTACACCTGAGGATATTTTTCTAGTTATTTTCAGATAAAGCGTAAGGGAGGGAGGGAGGGAGGGAGGGAGAGAGAAACATCGATGTGAGAGAGACACACCGATTGGTTGCCTTCCCCACAACGCGACCAGGGCCAGGACTGAACCACAATACATGCTCTTGACTGGAATCAAATCCATGACTCTTTGGTCCACAGGTCGCTGCTCTAACCACTGGGACAAACTGGACAGGGACAATTCTTCCTTATCTTGATGGGCAGGGGTCCCTAAAAAAGTGTTAATGAGCCTTCATATCTCCAATTCCCATTTTTAAAATTGGTATAATTCTGGCGCATTCATGAATGTGAGTGTGTCTTCCTGGGGGAAAGAACATTGTTGCCCCCCCCCCCCGCACCGAAACATGCTCCTGTATAGGGATGTTCATCCTGTCTTCCAACTCACCTAGCTACGCAGCTGTTGTGACTGCAGTGGTAAAGACACGCAGCAGGAATTTTAGCCTCTGACAAATAACGGAGAGTGTGTGAACTGTAATGTGCCAATATTAAAGAAAACCATGGTCTTTGTCCCCTTGCGTCCCCCAAAGCAGCGGAGCCAATTCCAGATATTATTAGAAACAAAGGCAATGCCCAGTCCTTTGTCTCTGACCTCTGTCTGCTATAGTCCCACATCTTAGCAACTGAATATTGAGTGTCCAAAACAGCAATACAGAAATGTTACACATCTTCTACTCAAAGATTCCCAACTCTCTGGCCAAGATACACAGGTTTGGAGGGACACTCTAATACATCCATTGGTGACACTTAATAATACTTTCTAAATCTGTCAATCTGCATCAAAAGCAATTACACATATACAACCAGAGCTGACCAACATTAACAGATCAGTATTAACAAAAGTACCAGGCAAATACCAATCTCTATACTTCCTTTCCCTTAGAGAACTTGCAATTTACTAGTATCCAGAAACTACTTTAGCCATGGATTTGTGAAGGAAGATAAATGATAGTGGAGAAACAAGTTGTTGTTTTTTAAAAGGAAAAACAACAGAACGATAAGTCAAATCTCAGTTTGGTCATAAGTAACCCAACTGAACAGACATTCTGATTAATAAAAAGGATGTTCTAATAATTAAAACAGGT